CCCTGGGCGCCTGCCTCGCTCACCCTGTAAGAGCGTAAGGAACCTCCGTCCACAGCCACATGCAGCTGGCGTGGCTTTCAGGACAGGAGGGAGAGCTGTTCTTTCTTTTCTGGGTGATCCAGCTCCTTCCAGACCTTCATACTCTGCCTCAGTGGACGGTCGCTTCCTTTTTGAGGTGTGACTTTTGCTTTCCACGCCTTCAACCTGAAATCATCCTTCAATGTCTTGTGATCAGCTGTCAGGCCAGACACCTGACCCGAAAGAGAATGTGTTTACACTCTGCTGTGCGTGTCCGGTTCCATTTTTCTACGTTTTATAGGCAGGGAAGGCGTGGTCCCAGGTGGGAAGTCCCAGGGTACGTTCTCTCTGTGGTTCTGTGACACCGAAACACAAGTGGCAGACACACCAAGCCGCTCAGGAGATAGCTTCTTTCTGGGACCCAAGTGGCACAACCCAATTGAGTAAGACCTGACCCAAGACAAGCTCAACGATAGCATTACAGGGAAAGGGGACGGGGAAAAGGTGATGAATGAAATACATCAACAAAGGAAAAAGAACCAGAAGCAAACGTCATACCAGACTGGTTCACGGGAGAAACGAGGCTTTGGCCTGGGGCTGGGTCCACTCCTTACTCTGAAACCCGAGTCTGGTCCAGGCGCGTACCCTTCCGTGGTCTTTTGTGGCAGCCATTCGAGGCCCACACATTCTGCCCCCCGAAAGCCCTCTGTCTCCCGGTGCCACTTTTTATCCTTAGGAAAAGATAAAGGTGCTCGTGACACAAACATGAGTGAGCGAGGGGGCCCCGTCCCGTTGCTGTCGCTGACTGGGTCTTGAACTCGTATTTATTATTTATGTGTGCTGTATTTTAGACAAGCACCCTCTCTCCTGCTCCAGTCACAGAGTGTCTGGCACTCTCGTCTAAGCAGGTCATTTATTTATTCTAATCTGAAGACTACAGTGTACCTCATGTTGTCCCGTGGCCATTTGTCCCCGACATTTATGCAAGGATAACATCACATGCAAATGAAATTGCCATTTTGCACCCCCCACACACACTCCCCTCCCCACTTGGCAAAGGATGTGTCGTTCAATTGAAGGAGTGTAACCTTATGTCCACCGGAGATACTGTAAGGAAGTCCCCAGGAGCAAACCCCAGTCCCACGATTTCAGACTATTTATTCTGTGAACACGAAGGTGTTGGTCAGTTGTTTTCAACACTCCTCGTGGCTGTATGCGTGCACTCAATGCAAGGAACATATATCTTTTTATCTGAATGTATTTTAAAGCAGTAGGTAGATTAACAAAGGAACATGAAAACCATGGATTGAATGGACCACTTTATGTATTCAGAGAGAGGAACCACCCATCATCACAAAGGAAAAATCAGCAATTCAGAGGTTGCAGTATTTAGTGTAGTAAATAAAGGATCAACATCGGGCAACCACTCTCAAAAAGTGTGTTGTAATGCATCAAAAATCAATAATAAAATTTTCTTTGCTAAATGAATATCAATAAAATAAGTTCAAATGATGGAAACCACAATGGCATTCTGATTTGCATTTTTTGATCTTTCTCATTGGTAGATGATGACCTCTTTATGTAAGACTTGAAGTTTTTCAGCTGTTTGGGGAAATTAAACAAAAGCCATGCAGTTCTTTACATACTGTTATACCTGCCCTTTATCTATATATATATAAAAGCCCAGCGACCAAACGGCAGAATGACCAGTCAACCAGTTGCTACACAGGAGCTGCCCCCTGGTGGTCAGTGAGCTCCCACAGTGGGAGTGCCGCTTGGCTGACTGGGATGAGCGGTGCTCCCACAGCAGGCTGGTCCCTGCAGGCCACAACCCCCCACCAGGGCATGAATCCATGCACCGGGCCTTTAACATAATACAATATCTTAAACTTTCCAATCAGAACCTGAAGCTCTTCCCTACTTTTCAGGGCTGCATACTACTACACCGTGTGCACATAACCAATATGACCAGTATAGACCAGTATTCTATGTCTGGGCATTGAGTTAACTTTGCTACCACAGCACTAACATGAAAAAACCTTGCATATATGTAATTTTACACATACGTGAGCACATCTGCAAGATAAATTCCTTGATATTACCAAATTGCTGTAGAGTTGTGTTAAGAGACTTTTAAAAACCGAACACCATGGAGGATCACCAAATGGAGAATTGTGAGAAAAGGATAAAATAAAACTTATTCTGCCACCTCCAAGTTGGGAAGCAGTGAAATTATGCCAGTAAACAGTGGGTGGCGGCAGTGTGGATTTTATGCCAGGTGCACCCATTTAGTAGTGGTGTGGCCTTGGACAAGCCACTTCTTTGGGTCCTCCATTTGTTAACCTGGAAAATGGGCACAGGAATCCTTAGGATGAATTGGCCGAGTAAGAATATTTTGAACATCTACCATGTGCCAGGTTGTTAGTCGGGGGGATCTGATGATAAACCAGCGAACGGCTTCTCTCGTGGAATGTGCCTGCCATCAGGTCACAGGAGAGAGGCAGCACTAGACACGGAAGCGTGGCATGATGAGGGCGAGCAGGGAATTACTTACAATAGGGTGGTGTGAGGGAGTGGGTGGCTACCTTGGGATATCAGGGAAGGCCTCTTAGGGAGGTGACATTTGGGCCAACCCTGTGAGATGTAGCACAAGAGCATTTGCGCAGAGAACAGTTGGTGCCAAGGCGCAAAGGTAGGAAAGCACTTGGTGTGTTTGGAAAGCAGAGAGAAGGGCGTCGGTAGAGAAATGAATCACAGTTGTGGCTGGGAAACCATGGTGTTCACCCAACGGGCCATCTGGTCTACATGTTTCCCAGCCATGTAGTGGGCAAGGGCACATGACTGTTCTGGCCAGTGGGCTGTGAGCAGAGAAGAACCCATGCCGCTTCCTGCCCCTGAAGCCACGTGTTGAAATGGTGGTGACACAAGTTGGCGGAGACCCATCATCCCGGGTCTCCGAGGAACCTTGTGGACCAGACTCCCTGCCAAGCCGCCTTTGATGTGATCTGAGGGAGAAACAAGCGAGTGCGGGCCCTGGGACGTAGACGCCACCTGGGGAGAAGTTGGTGGCAGTGGGAAGTTATTCTGAATTATCTGAATGGACTGGCTGCTCATAAGGGGGATTCAGTCAAGATTTAGAAAAATATAAAATTCATGTTTTGCACATTTGGGCTCATGGCTGGAAAACATCATATCCTGGGAGAATGTATTTTCTGTGGCCAGTAGAGGGCGCTTGGAGACAGCAGAAAACTGGAAGGAATGGCCCTGAGCATCCAAGCCCGCAGTCAGGTGTGTTGGCTTTTCCCTGGGAAGCAATTCAGGCAGGTGGCTGTGCCTAACCGAGACGCTGAGGGAAGTCATGAGGCCTGAGCCAAGTTTGCCTTGATGAAGGCACTCCAGGCCAAGGGACAGCATACGCCAGCCGTGGGCAAACTACGGCCCGTGGGCCGGATCCGGCCCGTTTGAAATGAATAAAACTAAAAAAAAAAAAAAGACCGTACCCTTTTATGTAATGATGTTTACTTTGAATTTATATTAGTTCACACAAACACTCCATCCATGCTTTTGTTCCGGCCCTCCGGTCCAGTTTAAGACCCCATTGTGGCCCTCGAGTCAAAAAGTTTGCCCACCCCTGGCATACGCACAGGCTTGGGGTATAAGTGAAGAAATTGAGCACAAAATGGGGAGGACACAGAGGAAAGCAAAACATAGTTTACAAAACATATTCTATACGAGGGTGTCCTCCCCTTTGGAAATCAATCCACCCCATCTTAATGGCCCTTCCTTGCAAAAATAACTTTCCTCTTTGCTTTTCCCAGAGACATTTGAAAGTGGGTTGTAGACAGCATGGCGCCTCACTCTTTAAGACTTTAGCCCGTACTCCCAAGCTGCACACGGCCACAGCACACTGAGGGAGCCCAGGGTTGTGGGTACTTAGCCAGTCTCCCTAAGAAATACCCAAGGTTTTGGCTAATCCTGCTCTGAAGTCTCAGGGGAAATTAGCGAGGCAATATTTTTTCTCTCTTTTGGCTTGACTTCTGGTTTACTTATCTTCAGGACTAGCAATAATTTGAAGATGCTGATAAAAAGCACCAGTATGCTAATGTGGCTCAATCTGGAAATCTAGCTAAGAGGTCAAGATTCTTTCCTTTATCGCTTAAACCCTAAGACAAGAAAAAAATGGTGTTTCTGTGTTGTTGTTTGTTAAAAGGATAAACATAGATTTCTCCCACCCTCCCCTCCCTTTTACCTGTGACTGACAACCTGAGCACAAAGGTTCCGTTGGGGGCCAGATGTTGGGGTGCATTGTGTAAAGATCCCCTCGCTTTAGTGTTACAGTCGGGTTAGGAAAAAGCAAGTCTTGGGAAAGTGAGTTCTGTCCACCCTCTGGCTGCTGACCACATTGAGACCTGAGTGGTCACCGGTCAGGGCAGGCTGGGCCTCTCAGAGCTGAGGCTCAGAGCCGTCCGCAAGTGCAGGGACCACCGGCAACTGTATGCCTCAGCCGGGCCAGGAGCTGACTCCCCAGAGGGCTGCAGGCTCCATCCTCACTGCGTTGCGTGGTTTCAGGCACGTTTATTCCCTATAACACGGGAGTGGGGGTAGGGAAAGGGTGTGTGTTGGGCTAGAATGATAGCTGTTGTTTTTTTCAACTTGTACATCTCAGTGGATCAGCAAAAAGGAGCCCATAGAGCAGCCCTAATGGGCAGAGCCGGGGGTGCAAAGGGCCAGAACAGCTGGAGGAGGAGGAGTGGCCTAGGGTGGAGGCCCTGCCAGCTGGAGGGATTCAAGAGGGGCAGCTGGCAGAGGTTATGGGGGGAGAGGAGTGAGCGGGTAAGGGTGGGAGAGAGGAGGAAGAGGGGGAGGCAGGGGAATCGTGGGGGTCCCCAGGCTCCCTGAAAGCAGAGCTCATGAGCTGCTGTGAGACTCACTAGCTTAGCTGCAGAAGTGCGACCAGAATCCTGAGACAGGGCCAAGGGAGAGCCAGGCTACATGCCCCGGTTCCTGGCAGAGACCAGAGCAAGGCGGGGCAGTTAGGAGGGGCCTGTCCTGAATTCCGGGGTGGCGTTGAGTGAGGGTTAGGGGACCAGGGCTTCAGGCTCCCTTCCCCCCCTGCCCAGTAAGTTCCACCAGGTCCCCTCAAAGCCACCTCAGATTCCACACACGCTACTGTGGCTCCGCTTCCAGCTGCCCCTCTGGGCTTTACCCAGACGCGTGGGGGCTCGCTCCAAGCAGGGAGGGTTGTCTGTCTGCAGTGGTGCCCAGTTGGGGCCCGGGAACCAGGGTGCTGCTGTCACACATGTCCTTACACACACACACACACACACACACACACACACACACACCACTCAACAAACATATTGGGTGTCACTGGGCTATTTTCCTAACCTGGCACCAGGGCCCAGTGGGAATTCCAGGATAAATCTTCTGTGCTTGAAGATTGAAGCCAGCTCCCTGCCCTCCCCCCAACCCCCTCATTTCTCTCGCCCTGCCTGGGACCATCTGCAGCAGGGCTTCGTCCCTGGGCACGGGAATCAGGCTTCCCTTTTCCCACCTTCTGGGGGGCCCTCTGCCCTCGGGAGACACAGGGTGCAAGGGCACAGAATGAAATCACTTTAATAGCATAGCGACACTGGGGGACCAGGGGTCATGGGGAGGGAGACATTTGCCTTCCCGTTTGTACAATTCTGCTGAGGTGCGTTGGCTGCGCCAGACAATCTTTACAGGGTTTTCACATTGAGAACTTAATAAATAGGCATTTAAAACACCAGACTTCAGAGACAATGAGCTGTGAGTGTGAGTGTTTTGTTATTCTGCCTCCTGGGGGCCAGGAGGGAGCTCCCCGTGGCCCTGGCGAGGGCTGGAGCCCTAGGAGGGGTACTCGTACTCCTCCACCTCGGCGCTGCGCCGGCCGAAGTCCATCCAGCCCATGTAGTCCCGGTCGCTGATCCGGTGGCTGGGGTCCCGGCTCTGCAGGTTCTTGATCATGGATATGCGGCCAGAGGGAGCTGTAGGGGTAGGGAGGGAGGAAACAGGACCGTTACACCTAGAACATCGCTAGTTCCATTTGCAAAGGAGAGCAATGGAGTGAGCCAGGCAACAGGTGTGCGCACCCTCTTAAAGGTATCAAAGAGCTGTGTGTGTGTGTGGGGGGGGGGGCGGGATCGCTGGGCCAGAATCTACGAGAAGAGAAGGACCCAGGTCTGTGTAACTGGACGGAGGGCAGAATGTACTAGCCGTGGGCGAGGTTTGCGATCTGCAAGGATCAGGTGGATTCTCGGCTCCAGCCTCTCACAGCTGGGACCTGCCTCGGGGTGTTTCTCCTCACGCAGCTGGCCCTCAGCAGACGCCCACCGAGCCTCCCGCAGTCCTCCCCCATGTCTGTCCTTCACTCCTTTCTATCCCTCAGCACCCCTGGCTCTTGTCAAGGTAAAGGGTTGACAATATTTTGTTGTTGGAATGGTGAAAAAGAAGGTCCTATTGCTAGATAAAGACTGTTTAAAAATCATTCATTTGAAAGCTTCCTTCTTTTTTTAAAAAAGTGCTATTAAGAAAAAGGCACCGTCAGACCTCAGAACTCAGCACATCACTAGCATCCGGAGGAGGGTGGGCAGAGAGAGAGGCAATAAAGAGGTGATTTAATTCAGCCGTTTTGACCAAAATGCAATCACTGAACCTGAAATGGGCCCTTTGGGATGGCAGTTAAGTCCTTAGGAACAGAACGAGTCTCTCTGTGTCTCAGCACAGCGAGGGAGCGGGGACGTGAAGAGGTGGTTTCTTCAGGTGCACGTGACACAGTCCTAGCCCAGAGATCACACACAGTGGCCTCCTGGGAGGAAATCAGCATAAAGCCTCCTCTTGTGCAAACTCAGGGGCCTCCACGGGCAAAGCCAAGGTGGCTTCAAGAGTAGAGGGACAAAGGCCCACTCAGTGGTTCCACTGTACTGGGAACACTGTCCCCACTTTTTGTGGCACCGGGGCCTTGCTGGGCTTGGGGCAGGTGTCCGTTACACCCCTCACTCCCCAAGGGACCCGCTTCTCCTCAGGACTTTGAAACCTCTGCAGACAAGTCCTAATGCCCAACTTCTCAGCACTGCCCAAAGAGTACATTACCTCTTTAGACTCTTTAAGCATAATATATCCCACAGTTGAGTAAAAAATCTGATTCGATCTCAAAATATGTCAAGTCATCCAAGAAACGGTATAGTATTTATGTTAGTAAATATTTGTTCTTTGTTCATATTCTTCAGGTAGAAGAGCATGACTCCAGGCTAAGATGTGTGGGGAAAAGTCAAGGTCAGTTCTAGGGAAGTGGTTTGGTGACTAACTTCCTTCCCAGAACTGTTTCTTGGGCATCTTTCCTGCAAGTATGGCTCAGTGAAAAGCCAAGGACATACCAGACTGGCCCAGCTGAAATGCAACCCACATCTAAGGACAGATACTTCAATAACTTTCAGACAATCACTAGGAGCCTCAAAAGTTTTCAGGCTTTCTGACTGCTGATTGGTAGTCCACCTCTTTCAATTTAATTAGCAGGGAAGTAAAACAGAAGATGGTAGTTGGGCCCAGCCGGTGTGGCTCAGTGGTTGAGTGTCGACCCATGAACCAAGAGGTCCCTGGTTCGATTCCCAGTCGGGGCACATGCCCAGTCTGTAGGCTCCATCCTCAGTAGCGTGTGTGCAGGAGGCAGCCAATCAGTGACGTTTCTCTAGCCTTGAGGTTTCTATCACTCTCTCTCTCTCTAAAAATCAATAAAAACATATATTAAAACAAAAGAAGATGGTAGTTGAGACAATTTCCCAAAGAGAGGAAGAAATATAACAAATCATCTGTTCCTTCCTTCTGAAATCGCCTGCTCTAAAAGGTCCTGGTCTCACCTTGGCAGGAAACCATAGGAGACTCTGGAGAGAGAAGCCCTCCATTTCCCCACCGCCAGTCTAATGGAGACGGGAGTGAGGGTTCAAATCGAGGCCCCGGCACACCAGTAGGTTAAGTGAGCCTCCTGAGAAGGAGCCACCCCTGTCCCTCCCAGCAGTGTCTGCCGTGGTTTTATTGTCCAGACCGCCCCACCCATCGCTGTGTTCACCATCCACGTGGATAAAGTTGATAGAAAAAACCTGCCTCAATCGCAGTCACGATCCCTTAGGACCCTAGATGTGGACAAGCTTCCCTCTGAAACACACCCAAAGTGGCTCTCTCACCTCCTCCCTCTTTAAAGATGAGACAGGTCCAGGAAAGGGACGGGTTGCGGGTGGGTTGGCGGGAAGGGAGGAGGGTCCTGTAAGCCACTCAGCTGGCGAGCCCCTGGGTCACCTTATTCCTGGAGAAGGACTTTGCGGACGCTGCACTTGGGGACATCTCTCCAAGAGCAAAATCACAAGCGGGGCTCTTGTTGGGTAATGATGCTACATCACTGCCAAGAACTCAGAACTGCTCCTGGCTCTCTCCTCCAGTTACAGACTTGGGCGAAAACAGACGCATTGTCACTCCTTTTTGCAGTGGGCACTCAAGTTGTGCGTAGCAGGGGCCACTTCCTGCTAGAGGGTTTCGGAGTGCCAGGAGCTGGGCGCCCGGTTCCGTTGCATTTACAGAAGAGGCTATTGGATGGATCTGTGAGCCCTTTTGGGGGCAGCAGTTTGTTCAGGAATTCTCTTTACATGTCTCCAGAATATGGTGCAGCACTTTATCAGCAACACCACGCCAAAAATTAGTTTAAAGAAAGCTTTTTTAAAAAGTTCCCTTACTAATAACTCTCCGTTTGCCACAAAGGATGTGCAGGAAACTGCACTGCCCGGCACAGTTGAGAGAGAGAGAGAGAGAGAGAGAGAGAGAGAGAGAGAGAGAAACCTTTCCTCTGGAAGGTTTGCCCGCCTCGATCAGGCAGCCGCTAGAGAAGAGGGTCCGCATGGGGAGTGCCGCGCAGGGGCGCAGGTGAGGAGGGCAGGGGAGGCAGCCTACCTTTCCGGGCATGTTGGATGTATCTGGCCAGCAGCGCGCCCAGGTGCGCTGGGGGCTCGCCGTCCACCCTCTGCACCGCCCTCAGCTGTCT